AGTAAAGTAATGCTTTATTTATTATTAAATTAAAGTATAATAGAATAATTAAAATAGTATAAAAAGTTAATTTAGATCATTTTTTTATTTAATATAAAAAAATTATAAAGATTGGTTAAAATTTAAATGATTTTTATTAGAAGCAATTATTAATTTTATATTAATATACCAATCTTTTTGCACCAGTTCATATTATTTAATATATTAAAATTGAAATATAATGATATTATTTTGAAATTTAAAAACAAGTAAAATAATTTTTTATAATAAATAATTTTAATATTTTAATAAAATTTTTATAATCAAGAAAAAATTAAATAGAAATTATCTATTTATAATTTAAATAATTATATAAAAGATGAAAATTAACTCTTTTTGAAAAATATTTTAAATTCTAAGCTAATAATATTTAAGAAAATATAATTCTTTTTTAAATTTATTAAGAATTTTTATTATATATTAATTAATAAATATATTATACAGTGGCAATCAAAAATAATGTAACACTTAAATTTTTTACTAATTATAATTAGTAAAAAATTTAAGTGTTGCATTATTTTTGATTGCCACTGTATATTAATCAATATATATATTATATCTTAATATTTTCTTATATTAAATTATAATTAATACTAATTATTAAATAAAATATATAATCTATCAATTAATTATTTAAGATATCTTAGTTAAAATCTGATATATATTAATAATTATATATTTAAAATAATGAAAAATTTATAGATAATACTTAAAATAATACTGAATTAAATGATTTTTCTGATAATAATAAATATCTTTATGTTTTATTTATTTATTTTATATAAAAAATATTTCTTATATATATAATAATTTATATAATTATATCTTAATAGTAATTTTTATTATAATTAAAATATTATTTATCTTATATTATAATTTGATATTAATTTTACTAATTTAAATTTAATTTAAATTTTGAATTTTTTATTATATCTAAAATAAAATTTTAATTAATAATTTATATTTTTTTAAATTAAATTTGATTTGCTAAAAATAATTATTTAATTTAATATTATTTTATAAACTTCTTATAAAATAATTATAATAAAAAATTAAATAATAAAAAATATAAATAATTATTTTAATTTTTTTATAAGTAATTAATTATTATATTTTATTTAAATTTTTATTAATATAATTAATTAATTTAATTTTTATTTAAACAAAATTAATTATTATAATATTTACTTATATATTTCTTTTTATATTTATATTTTTTACTATTATAAAATTCTTGCAATTACAAATAAAACTTGATACTAATTCTATATTCTAAAATCTTATTATTTCTTAAATAAATATTTGATTTAAGGATGGTTTAATGAAATTTTATCAAGTTTAGAATTTTAAATATTTTAAACTTACTTAAGAAATAATATATATATTAATTATATCAAATTTATATTCTAATTTATATTGATTTTTATTAGCATGAAATTCCTCAAACAAGTTGCATTAATACAATCAGATCTCTCTAAATGCAACTTGCTTGGGCCAACTTTTTGACATCATGCATTTAGAGAACAGTAAGAAAAATTGAATTTATGGAGATTAAGCATATATTTTGGACCAGAGTTTGAACTTGCATTTAGAGAGATGTTGAGATCTGTACTCGATGCTCGTGATAATGTACTTCAAAGAAGCGAATGAAAAACGTTTATATGATATTTGACTTTATGAGCTGAAAAATACCATTGTGAATTAAAAATCTTCAAACATGCGATAACCTTGAAACACATTTTATATTTATGCGAATATCTTTGTACCTAATAATAAAATCGTAATAATTTTAATACACTCGTTTGAGGATCAAATGTATTCGATCGGTCACTGAGATATTGCAAACTAAAGTGATCAAAAATAACGGGCTTTCGGATGCGATATCTGGACTAACGATGTGGAAATTGAGTGATATCGAAATTATATCTCTTAAAAATTCGCAAATTGAATTTAAACTGACATTTGATGACTTTATAAGTCACAACATTTATCATTCTATATGTATAAAATTTATATAAAATTTACAATAAATTTTTCATCTAATAATCACTACGTCGTCACCTCAAGCAGTGCTATTCGGAAAGCTGGTAATGCCAACATGAGCAGCCAAAGACCTACTTTCTTTTGATGGTTTTTTTTGGCTCGGGAGACGGTTGTTTCTGGTTGCACAACGCACCAGAAGAGAAGAAAATTTTTGGGTGGTATTCAGGCAGCTCACCCATGACACTATTAGGAAAAATCAAACCGGTCCGGTTAATATTATGCTGCAAGAGATATTAAAGCAATAAAAAAGAATAGTTCACCTGCTGTTCCGAAATTTTTCGACCAAGCTTTCTTGCCTTGAATATCTCGGAGTTGAACTTACTCCACCTCTTTCCAAACCGAGTTTTGCGAAGGACAAGACAGCACTATCTTTTTGAAACAGGGAATTATTATAGATTATAAGGAAGGGAGTTCTTTGCGGGAAAATACATAATCACGGAGCAAATCTTACAAAATTAATGAATACATAACCGACATTGCATCAGTTTTTAAAGGCCATCCACAAATAGAAAAAGTCATATTGACTATTATGAGTCTCGTCAAGAGTCTCAAGCAACATCCGCTAAGAACACTATAATGATCAACGTTTGGAATTGATAATTGGAATACGCGACTACTTATTTACCTGATTATAATTATTTGGAATGTTTCTTATCATGAAAGTGGTTCGTTGACCCTCACCTATAACTTGGACATTTATAGTCATTAAACATTCAAATACTCGAGATAAAACTGCTTGCGATTTTTTCCAGATCAAGTGTGTTTTTGTCAGGAATTGCCTTCTAACAGACACGACAATGGTGCTATTATTGGGTCCCATTTGCCTCTTTTTGAAACCTTCTTCACCTGTATTATCAATCCCATTTGGTCTAGTCAAACTTGACATGCTTGAAAATTTTGTTCTCCATTATCCAAGGATTCGCAATCAGCACTAAATTCAAATTGAAAATTATCAACTTGGACCGACCGCTCTTCTCTATTCTGACGCAAGATATTGAACAAAGAACACGAATCATAATTGTAATACTCAATTTTGATAGTCGCTTTCTATAATTTATATTGTAATAAAGAAAATTATTATTAATTCAATTATTTACTCTAATTTTTCTGCAGTTCATAATCTCCTTTGCATCGAAAACGTCATGTGTGTCGAACTATTTCTAAAAAAATTTTAAATATTATTGCTATCAATTTAGATTAGAATGCAAGCAGATTGCTCTAGATTTGATAAATATATATTTTAAATTTTATAAAAATTAAATCAGTAGTTATAAAGATATTAAGATTCAAAGTTTAGTAATTAAATTATTTATTATATTGTTGTGATATGAATTTCTAGTAGAATATTAATTAGTTATTTATTATTGATTGCTTCATATTACAATATGATTGAATGATTAATTACTTATATCTTATTGGACATTAGCTTTAGAGAATATTATTTGTAAATATTTTGCAAACATGATGATCATGACAAAATTATCATAGCAAAGTTAGCAAAACTATTATAGCAAAACTAACAATGCTATCATAATAAAATCAATATTATGATATCAGCTAAAGTAATATTTAGATTATAACAAAAGTAGTATAAGTATCATAACAAAAAGTATCATTTATATAATCTCTAAAATATATAAAAGTAATATATCTTAGCTAGTGAAAAGAATAGTTAAATAATTTAGAAAAATAGTTTATTAATTTAGTTTGAGTTCTATGAGTTTAGTTTTCAATTTGTATTTTAAGTAGATTATAGTTAAAAGAGAATTTTAAGAAATATCTCTTGTAAAATAGATCTTAATTAAGATTTATTATTTTGTCTCATTAATAAATTGATTATATATCTGTCTTTGAATTATACTTTGGAATTGGATTATATTCTAGCTAGTCATATTAAAAAAATATTATCATTATCTGCCTTTAGAAATTACCTTTGATAGTTTAAGAATTATACTCACCTCTCAAATTAAAAAGATAATAATATAAATTTTTATATTAATTTTAATCAAATTTTATATAATAAAACTTAAGAAATAACAATTCAAAAAAGTTTATATTAGTAAAATTTTTTTATAAAAGTATAACCTTTTTGTTACATAAGATAATATATCCAGATAATTCACATAGAAAAATCAAGATATAGTATTATATCAAGAAAGTTCATACAGAAGATTCAAGATATAAGTGAT